CGAGGAGCCGTAAGGAGACCTGAAGGTTTGAGCGATTTCTGTCCATAGCAAGCGGTTACCTGCGGAGCCTTTGCTTTTAGCTACCGGGCTTCGTGGCTTTCTTCCTAAAAACCCCAGGTCGGTTTTGGGACAAACAGGTCTTGCCCGGTTCTATTGCACGTGTCTTCGTGTAAACGCCACCGCGCGTTTCAGAATCGGGACCATTCACTGCGCGAGCAGGCAAAACAAACACACACTCTGGCCGGTTGAATTAGTATTTTATTGGCCACTAGGGAAAAAAAAAGACGGAGTCTCTCTCTCAGCTTTGCCTGAGACTCCAGCAAAATTGATGCCCGTTTCCACGGCTGAGTTTTGGTGGGTCCCACGACCGCCAAGGGCTGGGTTTACGGGGTGGGCACGCGAGGGGAGCGACAATTAGCCGAGTGGGGGCATTGCCCCTTTAAGGCTAGGGCCGAATTACAGTAGTCAGCCAGGTACAGCCGGCTGGAGGAACCAAGCGAATCCAGACACCAGGCAGCGCTTAAAACCCGCCGGCTTTTGATGCCGCAGCGCTAGAAGGGGAGTGATTCCGATTGACACGTGTTCCCGGAGATTAGATTAGATGTATAAACAGTGTTACCCAGATCTGCAGTGGGAAGCGTGTGTAGATAATCGTTTAGATTAACCCGGGATTAGCCTTGTTACACGCTGCGGAATTTGATCGCCCCAGACGACATCCCCCTCCCCTCCCCGCCCCAGGCCCGGGTAAAAGTCTGCAAAGGTGCTGCTGGTCCCAGAACTAACTTGGAGCAGTAGCCCTGAAGGGTAGCTGATTGCTAACGAGCAATGCCCCAATGATCCACCCGCTCAAATCAAATCTGTTGTCAATGACCTGTCCGATCCCTGCACCGCTTTCATTCACCACGCCAGTTCCCTGGCTCCAGCAGGGAACCCGCGTGAAATTAGCAAATGTATTATTTTAAGGATGCTCTAACGAGCCACGGCCAGATTTCATTGGCTGGGCAGCGGAGAGAGGCTACCCACGTTGCACGGTTTTGGTTTCTGAGCCGATTCTGAGCACATTTCGGAGCTGATCACACCTAAAATGTGTTTGGGTTGTGCGTTGTGTGCCTGTCCCTCTTCCTCCCTACCACCCCGGTGCCACCGGCGACCCGCGTTTCTAGCCATAACACGCTACAGAATGAAAACAAACTTGGGGGAGGCAAAGCGAGAGCATCTGTCTCTCCTCTCCAGCTTCCCCTCCGTCTGTCTGGCTGTAGCGAAAGAGTTAACCCGCGCTCCGCAGTGCTTTATTTTTTAAAGAAATTTATCAGATTTTTACAGGGGGACCAGGAAAGGGCTCTCCTTTTCCACTGGCTCCCTCCAAGCAGAGTCCAGGGCTAAAAATACAAAAATGTTGTATAAATTGGACTCCACTCGAAGGTCTTCCCACATAAAGGTGGTCTTTGTGCGGCGGTGGAAATGTTGTACACATAACTCTTTATTAAGGCCACAAAAAGCACTTTAATTATATTTACGCCGGTCCAGAACTCGGGCCACCGAAACAGCGACCCTTCACAACCGGGCTTCGGTTGAAAAAATAAACACGCCACTCACTAGCCCTGCGTGGTGTGTGGCTACAAGGGGTGAAAAGCGCCGTTCGGCGACTTCGTTTTCTTCCTTCCGAGCGATTGTATTGAAAGGGGGAAGCTGCTTTTGCAAACTGGTTAGAAAGTGACTGGCAGTTTTCTGATTTGAATTCTTGGGGGGGGGGGCATTTTGTGGGCCTCTTTGTCCCTTTTCTATGACCAAAGAACCTCCGAGCATGCGGGGGAGTTGTTAAAACTCTGTAGACTTCCTCCGCCCAAGACAACGACCCCTTTAAACTCCCTCAGGCTACGTCTAGACTACACGTTTTCTCGGCAAAAAATAGGCTCCTTTTTTGAGGCCACGAGGATCTCGCGGAAAAAGGGGGTTCTTGCGCAAAACGAAAACGTCCACACGGCTTGTTTTTGTGCAAATGAGATCAGGACTCGTGCATATTTTTGGCTGAGAAAACTCGTACGTGGAGAGGTAGCCCATGACTTCAGAAAAAGTGTGAAAAGCGTTGGCAGGTTATGAAAACTCGTATGTGCTCCTTTTTTGAGGCCACGAGGATCTCGCGGAAAAAGGGGGTTCTTGCGCAAAACGAAAACGTCCACACGGCTTGTTTTTGTGCAAATGAGATCAGGACTCGTGCATATTTTTGGCTGAGAAAACTCGTACGTGGAGAGGTAGCCCATGACTTCAGAAAAAGTGTGAAAAGCGTTGGCAGGTTATGAAAACTCGTATGTGTGTGTTTGTGTGTGTTTGG